ACACACACACACACACAGATCCACTGTATCTCTCACTGAAGCTGCCCTCAACACAAGCACCTCCTGTACAGTGAGATCTTGGGGCACATTATTCAAATGCAGCACTTTTTCTTTCCCCCCCAGGACAAACTGCGTTGCTGCTGCTGCTGCCCTCATCAGATTCAATTCCTATATATAGAACCACATTCATCAATAATTCACACTGCTGTGTAAACAGATAGAGGAGATGACCAACCTGACTCACGTGGAGAAACTTTTTAAGGTTTGATGTAATCTCACGTCACTGTCAAGAAAATTGGTTTATAAAACAGAAGAGATCGATACAAATGAGAGGAACCGCTACAGGCCCGAACGAGAACTTTGTCTATAATTAGTTTTTATACCTTGAGGACAGTTTGGTATTTGTGTCCAAAAAAATAAATGTCACCGCTAATCCTAACAGCACAAACGCATTTGCTTTGTGTGCTGCAGACTAATGCCCCGATCAATGTGTGAGTTCATTTGAAATATGATGTGAGAACGCACCAAACAATACACTCGTCTCCAGGTTTCACTGAGATTAATATCACCAACCGATGGGACCTGATATACAATTCCAGCCTTGCAGATTCTCGGCTGACGGCTCGGCTGCAGACATGAGTGTTTGCAGGTAAATAAAATGTCAAGAAGAAAGAGAACCTGTGCAGCTCCATCAGAAGATGTAAGTATTATAGAGGAAGCCTTGATTAAAGGTGCTTAATTCTCAGCTGCTCTCATGGTATTGCTTAAAAGCCAGCGGTAGAGGACTGTAGTTGTGACAAAATACAAATATGTGTAGCTGTATAAATAAAAAAGCAGTGCACTGTCAGAAAATGCTCAGCAGATTAAACACATGCAGAAAAAGCTGCTGTTGAGGCTGAATCCAAGCGGATAAAAAAGAAGTGTAGCTAGAAGAGTGTGTGCTTAAAATTCTTGTGAAAACATTTCAACTATTTGTCAAAACCTCGGTCAAAACCAGACGGCAGAATAACTGAAACTCATTCCTGTGTCTCATGTATATTCATGTATCATCAATAATACAGCGGTTCTGGAGACAAGCACGTTGGTCCTATTTGTAGCAGCTACAGCCTTTATACAGTACAATCAATGTCTAATGGATTAGCAGGAGCAAAAGGTGATCGCTTATTTGGAGGCCAATTATCCACACAGGAAATAGAGTCTCAGATGATCAACAACAGAGTTAGAAGACATTCATCTGTTTCTACCTCTTAAGACATATACAGACATATACATTATTAAATATACAATTTACAGGTCTTAAGGAGGGCTACTGAATATGTGGGGGAAAAAAAGGGTTGTAGTAAGGCTTTTGTGACTCCAGAGGGAGCTGCATGAAGTCTGACACACTGACTCAAGTGATGTCACTCGAGGCAGCGTCAGCTGGGGCCGAAAGACTGCAAGTCTGAAACCGAAAACACTTTGGGGTGTGGAGTTAAAAAGAAGTGAGCTTACCAGGCCTCTGTAGCGCTGTAGCTATATCTGCTTGATGCTACATTAGCCGCTAGCACAACACGCTAAAATTTCAACTGTCAGCGGTCGAGTTGTCAAAGAAGAAGAATTTATTACAGTTTAAAAACTGTATAGTGTTAGTTTACCAGTAGTATAGGACTACAATGCTAAAATCGGGTGGAGTATGCTTTTAAAGTCCATAACCTTCAATTAGATAAGACAAAGATCAAGGTCCGTGTGTACTTAAAATGACTTTCTTGGCTCTTTTTGAACATTTTTTGAACAGTTTAAAGTAACACTTAAATACACTCAAAAGAAACCCTCATTCATTCATTCATTCATTCATTCAAGCCCAAATTCACCATCTGTTATACGACAGCGAACATGGAAACAACTACTTGGAAAAAAGCTCACAACCACAAATTCAGCTATTCAACTAGTATAGTATAGTATGAGTCTAAAAGTGGATATTCAGATGTGCCATTTCAGATCGGAGCAGTTTACTGAACCTGGTCTGTCCTCTCTGCAGCCGCTCAGTCCTCGACAGCGTCACTCCGAGTAATTTCTAACAGCCCTGAGGAGAACTGACACCTGAAACTCAGAGTCAAAGAGTGTCACTGTTCACCTGCAACCATGACACATCCTACCGCAACACGCCTCTTCCACACACACACACACACACTGAACTTTGACAGATCCATGAGAAGACACATTAGGCCATCAATAATTAGCTAGCTGCGAGGTAGGGTGGAGACTGAGGGCTCTTTGTCACACACATTCCTCAGAAAGGTGCCGTGTGGTCAGGCAAAGGCTCTACACAGACAGACTGATAGAGAGGAGGACGGACGAGACAGGAAGGTGGTCAGATAAAGCCTTTTCTGTGGAGGACAGACGGGGATGAGACAACATCGGGGCATCAGGTCATCCACTCAATCAATACAGATTTGCTGATGTACCATGAATGCCACGTGTGAGGGATGAATAGTGTCTTTCAACTGAGGGAGAAACAATAGGTCAATATTTAAAAGAAATATGCACAAATTAAAGAACATTAGCATGCTCAAAATAACATAAATGGCCTTTTTTTCCCCACAGAAAAGCGTAATGAATGCTTCAACACATTTGAGGACGGATACACAAAGCTCTTTTGTCATTTATTGTGAATAAATCAGAGCATGCAGGTGTGTGTTTGCTGATAATAGACAGAGAAGCGTCCCACTGACGCAGCCACTGATCCTACGACAAACAGCAGTGGATAACAACTTGCCGGATTGTCGCCTGAAATCCTTGAAAGTCCTGAAAGACTCACATAAAGCCAGTTGTCTATCCACACAGACAGATGCTCGTCTCACAGTATGTGCCATCTGTGTATCATCTAATCATGTTCCTCCCTGTGGGGCTTGCTCCATTTGACCCCGGTGTTATATCCCATTATGGCAGGAAGTAATATACGACCCCTGTGCAGGCAAAAGAAAAGCTGCAGGCCTCGTCTTATTACTTGTAGAAAACACAATCTTGTAATTGAGCCTGTTTTTCTGCTCTGATTTGAAAACATCCAGCATCCTGCAGGTCATGAGTTGAAGCCCCCCCCCCCCGAAAATTCCACATTAAATCAACACGAGCTTATACATAAACTCAACACAACTAGCCCTAAGTCTGACTAAAAGAACAGCTTTATAACTTGTTTGGACAGAAACAAGCTAGCTATTTCCCCCTGTTTCCAGTCTTTGTGCTAAGCTAAGCTAACCATATCATGGTTGCAGCTTTATATTAGACACTTATGAGACTGGTATTGACTTTCTCATCTCACTTATATTTTCCAAAATGTTGAATTATTCCGTTAAATAGGCTCGACTCCCTCATTACCACTGCTGTGGTGCCATTGAGCAAGACCCTGAAGCCCAAACTGCTCCACTGGAGCCGATCAGTGGCCTCATGGGACACTCCTTGCTCTCGGCAAAACTTCCCTTTATAAATAAAGATAAAACACTTGGAATAAATAACTAAATAAACATGTTTAATCTGACTAAATATTCAGTCCCAACTGCAAGTATTAAAAGTTCTCTACGCTCACTGTTTAACATAGTTTGGTTCTTACTAAATAGTGAGGTGTTAGTGATTTAGTGGCGTTTAGCACTGAATGCAGATGGAAACTAAATGAACACCACTCACATCTGTTTAAGACCACCTGGGAATGAGATCGGGTGGTGAGGTAGCCACAAAACTCACAAAATACCTGAAATCTAGATTTTTTTTTACAGAGAGGGACCCAAACACAGACACCAGCTGTGACCTACTGCTTATTAGGACACACATGCACATGTATATATTTTGTATTAATTGCTGGGTGACAGCAATGTAAATACCAGCTCACTGTTGTCTTCTTCCACTTCCTGTTTAAGTCTACATGGACATGAAAACGTCTCACCCATAAACGGTCTTCTACTGGATATTTCACCATCACTACTCTCTCACATGATGTCTCTTGCAGATTAAAGAGAGAGAGAAAAAAACTCAGTGAAATTTGTATGCGGGTGTATTGCTGTGGAAGACCATTTAGTATTTTGTGTAGGGCCAATTTCTCACACTCCGGGGGTTAAAAGAATTCAATCAGTACTCAAGGGCAAGTGTGGAGGACCCTCTGTGCTCTCCATTCCAGGTTGTTTGTAATCAATAACCTTTTTTTCTACCGCCCAGTGTCAGCGTGGACAGGGCGTTTATTGAAGCCCCTGGTTCAGCTGCTGGAGTCAGAGTTTGCACACACTGAGGCTGATACTGAGCAGGGAAATGGAAGTGACTCATTCAAAGACAGTGCAGCTGCTAAAAGCTATGAGAGCCACGCAAACACACAAGCACACAGGCCTCTGTTGTTGTTCTCATGAATGAAAACTCCTCTGGCTGTTCCACTGAGAGGAAACACCATCAGTGATGCAGTCTGAGTGTAGACTGCTGAAAACTCTGAATCACACCCAATCCATCTACAATACAGTGTGCTGAACAGAAGGAGGATATTGCTGCGGTTCTTTCTCCTATATGGTAGTAAACTGAATATGTTTGGATTTTGTTGTGACTGTCAGATAAAATAAGCAATTCTGAAGATGTTACTTTGGATTCTGAGAGATTAATTTAATTGTTGCTGACATTTTTATAGACAATTCTGAGACAGATTTGATAACTTAAGGTAGGAAAAAACAGAAAAAGCACAAGCAAAAACTCCAACTACTAATGAAGATCATGTATTATGATTGAAAGCTCCACAACAGCTAACATACTACGTGCCCTGAGGTGAGATTGTCGAGTTTCATAATTAAGACATTTTTTAACTAAGCTTTTTCACAAATTTCTGACTTTCGGGGTTTATGCAAAATCAATTCTTCAGTTAATCAAAAGAATATCGACAGGTTAATCAATAGGAGGAAAAAAGGAGGATTTGCTGCTATTCTTTGTAATAAACCAGTTATTCCTAAAGCCCATCAGCACTTCATCATCAGTGTATTTATGATTTATAATCCTACTTTATGAAACTATAATTTCATAAAGCACTCTTACCACTACTAGCTGACATGTACAGACTAAATAACTCAACCATTAATCGAGAAAAATAATCTGCATATCAATCGATAATGAAAATAATTGTAAGTTGCAGTCGCTCCGAATGCTGCACATACACCCCATCTTTAACAAACCCAGTCGCCATGGCAACACCAAGCCCTCTTCCTCCTCCTCCTTTGGCTCTACAGCACTTCACTGACACTATAAACCTGACACACTTGAGCCTCAGAGGAGCAAAGCAAACCTGCAGCCAACAACCTCTAATAGCCTCTCCTTGTTCCTCTTAAGCTGTGAGATGTTTCTGTAATGCACCATCTACAGCGGAGGAGCCCCGGGGGGCTGATTTACGACGCTCTGTAAAGTGGAGGCATGCACCTCATATGATGCAGATTCACAATGACTTATCACACGGCTTAATGGAACTCTCAGCTGTAGTCATACAAGGCTGATTTACATTAAACTAGTCTAAAAGGTAGTTTGAGCAATCCCATGACCATACTGGTTCTGTCATGTGAGCCGGACCCTGTGATACCTCAGGTTAGGGTTCAACAGTTCAACAAGAGTGATTGCTGAAACGATAAAAGTATTTGGAGTTTCTCAACAAAGCGAAAATTACAAAAATGAGAGGAAAAGCCATAAAAAGCCAATATTGGTAACCCTTCTTCTGTCTTTATTAATCTTGTGACCCCTAAGATTTATCTTAAGACACCTTTCTTAAAAAAATAAAAATAAAAAAATAAAAACAAGGGGCAGCAGTAGCTCAGTGTGTAGGGACTTGGCTTGGGAACCGGAGAGTCGCCGGTGTGTGTGTGTGTGTGTGTGTGTGTGTGTGTGTGTGAATTTCCCCAATAGGGGACTAATAAAGTATATATCTTATTCTTCTTAAGGGTTAAGTGATTTAGCCAATTTGTTTCTCAACTAATTATTGATTGATTGTTTGGTCTATAAAACATTATAAAAACAGTGAAAAGTGCCCATTACAATACCATAAAGCCCGAGGTAAGAGTCCAAAACTATCCAAAACTACTCAATTTAATATAATGTACCTGGAACTATCTACAAACTACTTACTTAACATTCAATTCATTATCAAAACAGTTACTGATTAATGTTCCATTGATCATCTAATAGGTTAATAGACTAATCATTACAGCTCTAGATTCATCATTAACAAATGCCCGTTGCAGCTCAAGGTGACATATTCAGTTTACAATCAAAAAAACACAATGAAAGCAGCAAATCCTCACAATTTGGAACATGGAGATGAGTAATGTTTAGCATTTTTTGCTTGAAAATGATTTTCAATGATGAACAGATTATCTCAAATTGTTTTTCTGTCTGTCTGTGAACTAATTCGGCTTTTTGTGATCAGTCGAAGAGTTAAGAGTAAGACATCCAACACTTCAGCCAACTCTAGCAAACTCTTATTTTGTAAGTGGATATACTGTATGAATCTTGACTGACATTCACCCATACTGATCTGTTCATGAATGTATCATGAGGCAGGGATGTGGCTTGTACCTCGGGATAAAAGAGCTGCGTGGCTGGACTGTGTTGGCCCGAAGCCGTTTGCTGCTGATCTGCACCGTAAAGCCTGCTGGTGAGATTCTGCTGATTCAGAATCTATAGGGACGATGCAGCAGCCAGACAGTATAGACACAACCTGGAACTTCTAATCCGTGTCTGGTGAGACGCTTCGCAAAACACGTCATACATCACACAATCCCTGTGTAGTTAAATATAGTAAATTAGTATTCCTTCCTTGCTGAATCAGCTTTAAGTAAAACGTTTTTGAGGAAACTTCTAACCTCAACTGATACCTACCCAGACAACTGTGTGCATTATTTATATATAAGAAATGTGTCAGCGTGGACGGACTGAAGTGTCTCATTAATTAGTCAATTGTGAGAAAAATAACTTTTTT